CACAGAAAATGTCCTTGAGGGGAAAATGCACTTACAACCAATTATAATCAGTTATTAAAACTGAATGAATCCACTTAAGGTCTAAATTATAGCAGCAGCTTGAATTTCAGAAATTACATTAATAACAAAAATCACAGCAGGGATGTGCTACACAATACGGATGGAGGAACGTTTGTTTGCAACAAAGAAAGCCATCAAAATGGTCAAATGTTTTCATTTGTACTGTAACAGGTCTCATAATAATTACACCCTCCTGCGTCTATATACACTGCTCAAAAAAATTAAAGGAACACTTTTTAATCAGAGTATAGCATCGAATCAATTTAACTTCTGGGATATTGATCTAGTCCGTTAAGTAGCAATGGGGGTTGTTAATCGGTTTCAGCTGCTTTGGTGTTAAAGAAGTTAACAACAGGTGCACTAGAGGGGCAACAATGAGACGACCACCAAAACAGGAATGGTTTAACGGGTGGAGGCCACTGACTTTTTTCACTAGTTTTGCATTTGGCTACAGTCAGTGTCACTACTGGTAGCATGAGGAGATACCTGGACCCTACAGAGGTTGCACAGGTAGTCCGACTCCTCCAGGATGGTGCATCAATATGTGTTATTACCAGAAGGTTTGCTGCGTCTCCCAGCACAGTCTCAAGGGCATGGAGGAGATTCCAGGAGACAGACAGTTACTCTAGGAGAGCTGGACAGGGTTGTAAAAGGTCCTTAACCCATCAGCATGACCGGTATCTGCTCCTTTGTGCAAGGAGGAACAGAATGAGCACTGCCAGAGAATACCAGAATTGGCAGGTCCACTACTGGCACCTTGTGAGGAGAGCAGATGAGAGTAGGTTCACCCTGAGCACATATGACAGACATGAAAGGGTCTGGAGAAGCCATGGAGAATGTTATGCTGCCTGTAACATTGGTCAGCATGACCGTTTTGGTGGTGGGTCAGTGATGGTCTGGGGAGGCATATCCATGGAGGGACGCACAGACCTCTACAGGCAAGACAACAGAACCTTGACTGCCATTAGGTATCGGGATGAAATCCTTGGACCCATTGTCAGACCCTACGCTGGTGCAGTGGGTCCTGGGTTCCTCCTGGTGCACGACAATGACCGACCTCATGTGGCGAGAGTATGCAGGCAGTTCCTGAAGGATGAAGGAATTAATACCAATGACTGACCCCCACACTTGCCTGACCTAAATCCAATAGAACACCTCTGGGACATTGTTTCGGTCCGTCCTACGCCACCAGGTTGCACCTCAATCTGTCCAGGAGCTCAGTGATGCCCTGGTCCAGACCAGGGAGGAGATGTTGTCAGGCATACATACAAGCACAAGGGGGCCATACAAACTACAAAGTACGATTTTGAAGTGCTGCAATGAAATTTCAGCAAAATGGACTAGCCTGCCGCATCATTTTTTCCACTTTGATTTTAGGGGTGTCAGCCCTTTGTAGGTTGATCATTTTCATTTCCATCAAACGATGTGGCATCTTTTCGATCCTAACACATTTACCCCGTTCATATCAGAATAGATATCTAGCATGACTTTTTTTCCCCCCACTGAGATCTGATGTGTTTTCAAAGTGTGATTTTTTTGGTGTGTGTTATAATTTATTGAGAACTATCTATGAAAAACTGGGCATGAACAAACACCTGCACTGGCCTTTATGAGGGTTAAACACTTTGCAGGCTAACCTGCTTCCCTGATAGGACCGCCCCCTCTGTGCGGGGGCACAGGAAGGCCTGTACCATGCTGCTCTCTGCAACGGAGGTGCCCCGACTCAGACACTCTAACGTTACTTATGAATGGCCGAGACACAAATCAAGCAGCGAGAGGAAAGAAAAAGTGTGTGCAGTGAATGCAGCATAATAAACATATAATCAGCCGGAGGCACAGTCAGGCCCACCCAAGTGACTGCATGCTCCAAAGTTCCTTCCGGAACAATAGGGGGAAAAACTGAAGGACACAGATTACGGGAAGCCCGTTAAAAACCTTTTAGGGGATACAGAAGTCAGCCTGCACCACCGCCCCAAGCTGCTGCGTTCATTGGAGCGCTCTCTCATACAGTACTATTCACAGGAACGGGGGAATACTACAGTTCTACCCATTTATTGGCGTAAATATTTCCACCAAATGGGTCCAGATTAACTAGCTCTTTAAAAGTTGAAAACAGCTTAAGTAAGAAGAGGTGACTATTTGCCCACAGCTGAGCCGCATAACGTCAACAGACATCTCTAACAGTTTTACTCCGGGGAAATTTAATTTCATATAAATACACTTAAACAGTGAACAAAACACCAATTCAGTCCATTTACAGTTGAGTAAACTCGACAAGAACAAAGAATGTTTCATTCGATCACTCTAAAACAGTAACAAACAACCTGCACCAAATAATAAAATAACAATAAAGTGATTGGATACATACAATGGTGCACATAATGAATATTAATCAGCAGTGCGACCCAACGTGAGCAGAAGCTTGGAGATACTGTTTTGGATCCTGACTTCATTGTGGCTTTTGTACTGCCAGCAACAAAGCATCAGGTGCAGTAAAAGGAGAACAGAAGATGTGTGAATATGAGGAAGGCAGACGTCTGCCCCGGCTGCAGCAAGGCACCGTGTGCGCAGACTGCACACACACATTCTTAAAGGGCTGAATTTGTGAGACCCCCAAATGCTGTCAGCTGCTCATTCAGAGCATGTGATCCCTGTGCATTAACAAGCTGTTAATGGCAATATCATATTACTCTTGCGGCAGGGGGCTGGTCAACTTTAAAAGGCTTAAATACATAACTGAAGGCCCTCATCCTGACAGAGGCAGACAAACCGCTTCGCACCCAGGACAGACAGTCCAACTGGCCTCTCAGAGAGAAACATAGTATGATGACCAGCAACCACATACAAGCAGATAAGCTGCTCCTATTCCTACACCATCAAACATGTCAGCTGAAGCGGTCCAGAGACGCAGCCCAGACTTCCCAGAATTCGCTGCTGTCCCGGCTTATACATCACCGCCCAGACTTCCCAGAATCCCCTGCTGTCCCGGCTTATACATCACAGCCCAGACTTCCCAGAATCCCCTGCTGCCCCGGCTTATACATCACAGCCCAGACTTCCCAGAATCCTCTGCTGCCTTGGCTTATACATCACAGCCCAGACTTCCCAGAATCCTCTGCTGCCTTGGCTTATACATCACAGCCCAGACTTCCCAGAATCCTCTGCTGCCTTGGCTTATACATCACAGCCCAGACTTCCCAGAATCCTCTGCTGCCTTGGCTTATACATCACAGCCCAGACTTCCCAGAATCCTCTGCTGCCTTGGCTTATACATCACAGCCCAGACTTCCCAGAATCCTCTGCTGCCTTGGCTTATACATCACAGCCCAGACTTCCCAGAATCCTCTGCTGCCTTGGCTTATACAATCACCCCGACTAAGAAACAAAGGTCTTTACTCCAGTGTTACCACATATCCGCTTACGCCGCTTCAGTGCGAGATGTTTGATTTTGCTCTTTTGAGCCGAATGATCTGGCTTTTTGTCTTTCAGAGTGACTTAGGTCTAAGTTGCGCTTGGGCACAAATGAAGTGCAGGCTATTGCTGATCACATGGGAAGCCTGGAGATAAATGATTAATTTGATCACAGTAATGAAAACACATCCATTCAGAGGCTCCTCTCACAACACATGTAACCAACAGGACGGCGGGTTCAGCACATGTTAAACAAAACCACAGGCAACAAACAGGATTTTCTGGAATAAGTGTGAGATTTACTGGCATATAACCAAACGTACTTTACTTCCTGAGAAAAAGGATCAAGGCAGTTCATAGACCCATATATATCCCGGGAACCAGATACTAGTTGTTTTCCCATTAGCTTCTATAGCATCTGCGCCCAATTTCACAACCGGTTCTTCCACAGTTGACAAAGTAATGATCGTCAATACACAGATTGGTGAGCCCCTACAAACAGCCACAGAGCCACAAGCGAATATTACAGAGCTAAAGATTCCTTCTGACTCAAGGCATTTCAAAGCTGGAAATTCAAGATCTCTAAATATATGCTGTCATTGCATTTAGCAAAAAAAGCACACATTAAAATGTCACTCTCGCAATGGTGACTACGCACATGACAAAGACACAAGGAGGGAAAGAAGAAGAAAACACTCTTGTTGCTGCTGGCCTTGGAGTACAATGGTGCTGTTCACACAAGCTGTGACACAGCAAACTCACAATCACCCAAGAAATACACTTATTGTATGTGGCAACAGCGAACTGCCAATACCAATGAGAGGCCTGATTACCAGAAGAGAAGACGGCAGACTTGTCATACTGCTGTGTGTACGGCCACCAGTAGTGGACAGTGACATGACGGCCCGGTTAATGAGTATGGTTTGGGAGGGAATTGATCAGATCGAAAGTATCAGCTGGCAAATGGAGACGAGAGAAGCAGGATCAGACCTCAGGAAAGATGGCAAAGAGCCTTAAAGAACGGGAGTAAATTAAGGGGCAATGAGAGCAAGGAGAGATGACCGGCCAGGCCTGTATGTGAGGGAGAGAGGGGGAGTCGTGGTGGGAGGGGAGAAATACACACCGTGGGTGGTTTACATCCCCCCCCACAGAACAAATCTTAGAGCCTGGGTGCCACCTAGCAGTCACAAACACAACTGGTGAAGCGATTCCTGGGATTCAGGGCGAGCAATATGGCCATTTAGCGGAACGCAGGGCAATGGTAAAGGCGCTTCTGTGTTCGGTGGTAGTGTCATACACCAGAGCTGTACAGCGGGAACTCCCCAGTCACGCCGAGCACTCCTCCCCCCGCAGATCACGGACACGTTCAGATAATGTGCAACTGTGGCCAACCCCCATGCACCGCGACACCTCCCGCACACACACGCATGCACACACACACTTTCCTCACAACATACTTCATGGCATGGCGTTCACTTGGGCACATGGCATTTCATCATCTGCAGAGGAAGGACACAATGGAGCAGAAGGGTAGTAATCCATTTATTTAGTGGCACATTTTGCAAACTAGAAATTTATTCTCAAACTTATCAGCAAAAAAAAAAACAAAAAAAAAAAAAAAAAAAAGAAAATAAGCAACAATCCACAAGCAAGGAATGCAATTTGTTCAACCGACTCCAAACAAACAGTACAGCTTTAAAGTTAGGGAAGAAAGCTTTTCACAATTTCTCTCCTTTGGAATAAGTACATTATACAAAATATACAATAATTCAATAATTGAGCCTTTGTGTAAAGTCAATCACGGGAGACTAAGTAGCAGACAATTTACTATAGAATTACAATCTAAATACAAGAAAGTATCCCTGCAGGTGAATGCAGAGGCGGATCTGCACACACACAGAAACACATGCTCAGGTGTTTGTTCCGAATGTTAAACACGACTCCAATTACTAATGTATCACGTCTTTAAAAGGATCGTCAGCCACATGCGTCCTAGGCATCGAGAGGGTGCTCCGTTAAACCACTTAAAGGTCAACTTTTCAAACACATACCCAGCGATAGACCGGTTTTCTTTTTTTTTTTTTTTTCCTTGACCAGAATATCACAGAGCAAGTTGAGTTACTTCTCAGATAAGAAACTAGTCTTGCAGGTGCTAGGATAGAGTTAATTTAGTAAGGCAAAATGGTGAGCTTATCAGTGAGGTTAGCGGGAGGGGGATTTACAGCTTCACTGGAGGAAATTTATACAAAAGCCAGATAGACTGAAGGTCACCACAGACAGAACTCCAAAAACTGTAGATGACTGTTGCCTGTATAATTTTAAACTGGCGACTTGTATTGGGACCCTGTTATTAACGCCAATAAGCAAAACCAATTAAAAATTTCACCTCCCACCCATTCATCACAAAACCCCCATAATATCCATATCAGTGCAAATAGACAAATTTTTATTATTCAATAGTGGTTCATCTTCCTAATAAGTTAACTCAAGTAATTGTTTTGAATATATTATTTTTGCATTTCCTAATAATTTCCCATTTTAATTGGTTGTCTAAAGAAACAAAAAAGGGACCTCATCCAATTTGAGGAGTAACAATATAAAACAAGCACTCAGCAACCAAAAGAACTGCTCTAAAATGGACAGCACTGTATTCACATGAAGGTGACGTGTGCGGGACTGCCAGTGAACAGCGCAGGGCGCAGCGAGCACTGCTCAGCACGTCTCCCCAGGCAGCAGCTAGGGGGCAGCGTGTCCCCCACAGCCGCTGGCTGGCCGGCCAAACACACAGAGGGGGACCAGGGAACTGAACTCATGAGGTACTGTCGTTAGCTCTGCTGTGAGATCAGCAGCACAAAAAAATAAAAAAAAGTCATTATCCAGGGGGCCAAATCAGACTTGATATTGTCGTCAGTTTTAGAATTCATTCCTGTCACTCAGCTCTGTTTAGGATGGGTTAAGGGAGATGACTCAAGCTAATGTAAGGCCAGGTCACTAAAAATAAGAATGACAGCAGAAATGAGAAGAAACTTTAGATATTTAAACCACACCCATTGAAAACATTGTGTAGAGATCAAGCAGAACAGTGACTAGAGCACACTTTCCATTTAGCATGAAAAACACAGCAAACTTCCAGCTGTACATGCACCCAGACAGCCTGTGCCTCTGTCTATACGCAGAAAGTGTAACATACAACTCTGTGTGATTTCTAAAAGGACATAAAAGGATTCCAGTTTAAAAAGAGGGAAAATACTTCCGGTGAACGAATCTTTCACATGTAGAGAGGAGAAGTTGTTAGACTGGAAAGGTTTTCCCATTTCATCTGCTCACATAAAACAGCATCGAGCAACATGGAGGTCCATAGGGAGAGCGTCAGAGGAGGAGCACGTGCACCTCCCCGGCCACGACGAGGAGGTCAACGAAACACGAGGACTGGGGAGGACCAGACGCACGCAGGGAGGGAGGATGGCAGCGTCCACTTTGGCAAAAAACCAGCAAAAGGTCACTAGATCCCCATTCTGGCAATTGGCTAACATGGAGCTAACTGCACAGAAGCATCCTATGATGGGTACTACACAGGCAAGGTCAGGCACGTGGACCTCAGGGGGTGCAGGAGGGTAAACAGCGGAACGATGGCCTCTTATCCATAAGATCAGCCACGATGAGTGCAGCAAGCGCGTTGGGCCCAGCTCATGACATACAAAAGGAGTCTATTAAAACTAACATCAGCACACTCATTTAAAAGGAGCACAAGAGTTCGCAGTGATCTGCACTGCTGGGGAGGGGTTAGTATTAGATTGTCAGCTGTCAAATATTTTTTTTTTCCCCAAGACCAGATCAAGCAAAACCATGAGTTACGTTCATTCCCTTTGCATTTGCTTTAACAGCGACAGTATCTAGTAATACTAATCTAAGAATTATTTAGGTCAATAACAAAAAAATTCAAGTCACGTATGTACACATTGCATTTAGGACAAAAGTGATTCAACTGTCAAAATGTACTACTGTTAAATATAGCTCGAGTCAGCAAACTGCCTTTAGAAAAAGGAATGGGTTTTTTTAAAAAAAAAAAACAAAAAAAAAAACAAATGGACCCCATCATAGCAGCAACACCTGTCACCCCGAACAACAACAAAGCACAGCAAAGCAGGGCAAGTTGTGCTGCCTGAGCCAGCACAGGGTGTTACTGCACAGCAGGGTTCCCGGGGTTGGCAGATTTGTTCATCAGTCCGGTTTTCAGAAAGCACAGGCAGAGGAGGTGGGAGCCGAAGTGTCTGACCAGGAGTTCACACTGCAAATCTGTGGCTGCTCCGTCAAACTATCAGAAGAACTGAATTATGATCATTAAAATAATAAAACTATTAACAGAAGAATATAAACACCTAGTTCAGTTCAGGCGCCTGAGTTTAGTGCCTCCTCCCCCGGAAAGAGCGTAATCTGGATCATAATGTTTCTGAAGGTTTTTATTCTTTTCTTAATGAATACCGAAGTGGGTGAGGCGTGTAAAGACAGTTAGTGTTGCTGTGTTATGAAGAAGCAGAGCAGCCTGACTGCAGAGCAGCACGCGGGAATGCAGGGCAGGCCGGGCACTCGTCAGCGGACAGACACACAGACCGCGGGTGCGACCCCATACACACACACAGGCGTGCCGGACAAAGCACGCCGCAGAAAAGTCGTAGTCACTAGTCATGATTTTGTAAATTTACAAAGCTTCCTCTGCTGTGAACTTAGAAATTTTACCCGTTTCTTAAAGGACCACTGACTAAGCTGTGGGAGCAGCGGCGCGCTGGCAGATGTGACGGGGGGGCTGGCGGATACGGACGCGGATACAGACGCGCTTTCATCCTTAGCTTTTACTCAGGTTCACGCCTGATGAGAGTACATTGTGCAGAGGGACAAACGCACTTCACATAAACGAGCACAACTGGGGAGGTGGGGGGTTGGGGGGCAGAGCAGAAGCCTCGAATGTCATTACAGCAAAGAAGTTTGCAAATTCATGAATTAAAAACAACAACAACAACAACAACAAAAAAATAGCCTTGCATCAGCTTGGTGGAAGGGCAAACCAGTGTGGGCTTAAAAGGACATGGCGAAAAGGAGCAGGGGGGGCGGGCAGTGCCGTGCCGCCTCCCCCCCGGGCAAACGGTAGTTGTATGGCAGGGGCTGTGTGGGGTGGCCCCCCCCAGCCGCCGCTTGTCGCCGCCTCTGAACGGAAAGCCTTGGGGGCAGGTGGCCGGCGAAGTGGCTCATGAGCGCAGGCGGTCTTGGTGGGGGGGCTGTGAGTAAGCTCTGTGCTAGGGGAGGTGCAGGGAGGCCGGGGCCACGTTACCACATGTCGGCAGCCGAGGCAGAGTCCTTCAGAGAGAGGGAGGGGGGGGGGGGGGAAGAGGCCTTTAGAGAAGCCAGGCAAACCCCTGCTGCCATCTGAGCACTGAGCTGCCAGTCCATGAACACATTCAACCAGATCTCAGTCACATGTGCAGCACGTGAGCGACGACAGAGACAAACAGGGACCAAAAAGGCACAGGTCACTTATTAAGGGGCAGGGAAACAGCAAGGGCAGCATGAATATGGCTGAAAATACCGAACAGCACGGAAATGGCACAGATGGGACCTCAAAACACCTACCGATCACTTCAGCAGCACAACACGACATTTACATAAAATAATACTGACAGGAGACTGCACTCGAACACCATGTGACCAGCATCAGAAGAGCGCGGGCGGGACTTTCATACCCCTAACTTACATTCAAATCTGTTTTAACCCAATGCGCCATTCAGAAAAATCAGAGCATTATGTCTTTCCGTGGCAGTTCAAGTGATATGTACGCTATGTATTTATACAGCAAGGAGCTTATTTCTATAAGAAAACCAATGCATGTTATTCATAACCAGTTGCATAATCTATCTGGTTATCCTCCATCATACTGACAAAAGCCTTAGCTAAAAAGGGTGGGGAAGGAAGAGTTACTTACAGTGTCTTCACTCCGACATGGGTTCAGTCTGTTGTATACGGCTTCAACAACACTCCGTCTGCAGTGAGGGAGACACACAGAGCACTTAGGTCCCTGCCCACCTGCGGCAAAAACCACAGAGTCTGGCGGCAAAAAACAAGCAAGACCTGTAGCCCTCGTCAGATCAGTCTGGAGGAAGCGAGAGGCCGGTCGCCATGTGAGCGTGCGGAGCATTTGTCGCACGGCGTCTAAGCTTGCTTATGCAAATGTGAGAACAGCAGAGCAGACTGCAACTCAACACGGCCATACGAGTGAGGGGGGGGGTGGGGGGTGAGACGGCTTGCTCTGATGCTACTGCCCACCCAATGATCAGCTTCGAGCCAAAATGGCTGCCAGAGCACCAGCTGATTGCTAGTTTACATGCCCGCCGTCTTTAAGTCACATGAGACGTGACTTTTAAAGTATAATGCTGTCAGTCAAAGTCAGCTGGGCCAATGTCCCTGTCAGAGGGGAACATGGGTTATCTGCAAGCAGTTAATCATTACCGGCTACTGCCAACAAGTCAGCTCTTAAGTTACAGTCACCACTGATAGACTGCTGGTCTGTGAGACGCAGACCTAACAGCATATCAGAGTCATGGTCAGACAAGCTGAGAAGAAACCGGCCGAGTGACGGGCGTCACTTCTGGATGGACAAAGCGACAAACGGGGACACTCACTTGCTGGCCAGCTCGCCCCCTGGTGGCAGATTGGGGATGCTCTCCGTGGCTAACGTGCGCATCACGTGGACCAAGTCCGGCACATCCTCTTCACCTTGTTTCTTAATGATCTCTGAGGAGGAGGTGACTTCTGGTTAAGAGGGTCGCATGAAGTATACAGCTGGAACTTCAGACAGGCGGAGGCTAAGACACTGAAGTCTTGAGAGTGGTCAGACTTAATTCGAACCAAGTGGCAAAAATCACTAATGAATCCATATCAAAACTGGTTCCTCTTAAAAAGGTCTTAATGTTCTCAGCCAATATACCACATTTCCCAATATCAAAGCAATAAGCAAATATAAATACAGCTTTAAAAATGCAGCTGAAAATTACACAAATGATTCTCAAATTTCACATTCATATACTAACAGTATGCAGCAGCAGGGGTGGCTGACATGATCTAATATATCATGCTATTTTTCACTTTTTGAACGATGATGATATTATATCACGGTGTTACTTTTTTCCTCAAGTTTTGGGAGGAGTAGCATGGCCTGTCCCTTTATGTAAATAAAAAAAAATGAAAGCATATTAAGTACACTTTAATTGCTGTTACAGTTGGGTATGGGCGGTCTTACTTCGAAAAGATGACATATGTAATGTTTTCTCATATTCATTTTTTAAATTGTCGGAGTAAAAACGCGAACTGAACAACAAGCCACTTCAGACAAAAAGAGGTGTGCGATTTTTCATGTTTAAAAGCTGCTCTTTCATACTTAGCTTGCAAAGGGCTACCATGGCAGAGTTAAAATTAATAAATAAAAGCTTAGACAAGGCAACCCAAAAGACACAGGAGAAAAGTAAATAAGGGGGTGGAATTAAAGCTAAAATTCTGTTCTGAAGCAGTGCTTATTTTTGAAAACTGCAAACCCAGCACATTAGACACAGATGAATCAGTGATGGCCAAACCCCTAACCCAACAACAGCAATCATGCGTCTCTCACTACAGCACAGTGTCCTAGTCACCCGACAGATTATCTTAGTGACAGAAATGACATTGGATGAGGACTAAACTCCAGCCATACAGATTATAATGGTAATCACAGTGAATATGACAGCTGCACCTCTGGTTTGCTACAGAAAAATCTCCTTTCAGTAGCTACAAGAAAACTGCAGGATTCGTCCATTAATAAAATAGGTACAGACAAATCTAGCTGTGAGTTATCTGAAGCATGACTTCCTATGTCACATACAATGACTAATTGACATGTTCCCACCTCCAGCACACTGGAAGACGTGCTGCAAAAGTATCGCTCCCCAGCCACAGCCCCGCTCAGCCTTGACTACAAAACAGAAGCAGCCTCGAGAACTAAAGCCTGGCAGAGCCCCACAGCGAAACCCGGGACTGGCTCCTCAGCTGTCACCTAACCCACGGCTCCCAAGTCGGAGAACTCGGACAGCCCTGCTCCAGCCATTCCATCTTTATGCTCCCCCACCTTGCATCTGATTCAACTAATTAACCACCCAAGCCATTTATTACTTGAACCAGGTGTGTTGCTGGTGGAGCACAAATATTTGGTGGGGGGGGCAGGAGCAGGTTTGCTAATTTGGCTGACGTTCCTGTTTGAAAACACATCACCCACTACAACTTAACATGCCTGTTCAAATTGAGAAAAACATTCAACACATTACAAGCTCTCAGTAACTTCCCGCTGCGGTGCAGGTTAAAACACACATCAAAAACTGGATGACTTGCGTAACCAAAGAGCCTAACTCAAATTAAACAAATTATCTCAGGTCTATGAAACTAGTTTGAACTCGCAACGCTGAAGTGAATTAAATTCCCCGCATTTCCTCAGAACAATAAAAGCAGAACGGCCAGTCAGACAGATCCATACGGTATCTAACATGTGAAAAACCAGGCACAGTGATCTGCCAAGCAATATATGTTGGTGAAAACTGATTTGGCCATGTAACTAACACAAGCAACTTTAAGTATTCTTCCAGCACGTATATTTTGACAGATTTAATAGAAAACAACTGAAGTCTATTTGGATTAAAGCCAATAAACCAAGAAGGGTGTAAGAGGTTAGCACACATTCCGGGGTGGAGGAGCACAGATAGAGACATGCAGCTGGACTTTACACTCCTGTGGACATACACAGAAGACTCAAGACTTAATGTACCAGCAGCGGTTTTAGCACAAAGACTTTCTCAACAACCGAAAGGCTTCATTGGCGTGTGGTTTAATGCGACTTTACTGCAGCCACAGATAATGAATGTAAACCCGAATAAAACCACCAGGCTGTGAGCAGGGATGGTGCTCCATTGCAGGACGGCCATGTAAACAGAGTCTGCGCATCCCACAAACCAAGGAAATCCCTGAAGTCAAATTAAACATCAAGTCGTGCATTTAGTTGTCACAATACCTGCAGTTTCTCACAGAAGAGAACATGGATGTTAGTCATGGTGAATATGTAACCAGTAAAGGTTCCCATCTTGAGGAGGGAAACGAACTGCATCACATGCAAGATCTGGGAAGCTGATGGCTTAATTGTGAATAAGATGAATTAAACATGCATTGAAACCTTCAGATCGGGGTATTTTTTACGTCTTGTGAAGCCCATAAATGGCCACGTTGAGAACCAGAAAAAACATAAGCGAACTACCAAAGCATAAAAATTCACAAATTACAAAATAAAAGCGGGTAAAAGGCATGTTTTGGAGTTACAGCAACTTTGATGACTCTCCAAAAAACTAACAGTACAATGCAAGGAACTTCACAAGTTGCAGAAACCCTCTCGCTTGACTGTTTGGGATATCGCTGCACTTCAGATGAATGACGCATTGTATTATTCTGTAACGTGTGGTTTTTTTTGAATAACATTTTCTATTTGCTTAATTTCTAACCGAAAAGGAACAAACAAAAGGTGATGACCTTTAAAGTGAAGCCTTTGACTACAGGAAATGAGACATTTCGTAACATACACTTATCGTAGATGACAACTGTTTTCTCCTCTAATACAGAAACAACCCTTACAGATGTCTACAGGAATTAACATAGTTCAGCTGTATAATCGTAAAATAAGTCCTCTCAACATGAGAACATCTCAATACGACAGCTACCCCCCTGCTACCCACACAGCAATGCAGCTTGAACTGCTCTACACTGATCAACCTAATGGGCCCTTAAAAATGTTAGGCTGGTTACTCGCCGCATGGTTACATCATTTACAGTTTGGAAGATGATTAAACAAACAAATACATTTCTTGCCATGGGCAGAAGCTAAATTCACAAGCAGATATTCAACACAGAAAACATTATGCTATTAGGGGCTTTGAGCTGGTCATGGCTAGTGCTGGTTATAGTCAGTCATGATTGGTAGTTCGGGAACATTTCAGCTTCCCAGTGAACTACACTAGCAGTGGAGAGAGTAGTTCATAAGACCAAGACTGGCTCTCTTAACATGCTGCCGGAAACAGATCCAGCATGCTAACTCATTTGAGACGACATCATTCAAGTGTGTGTATGGCTGGAGCAAGTCCCCCACATGGCATTTAAGGGGGCAGGAAATACACAGGGGGTAAAAAAATTATGGCTACAAGGATGTTTACAGCTGCAGAAATACGATTGAACGCAGTAGCAGAGATGATGGTATTTCGATGGAATTTAATTTAATTATTTGAATTTTTCCAATTTAATTCTTTATTTTAATAGTCTGCAAAGAAGCATCTCTGAGGATCTCATTCAGACACATTGACAGACGAGCTCTTTGGTTTACAGCTACTTATAATTGTGTTTGTAGCTTCAATAATAAATTGGGAGAAAAAAAAATTCTGTTGTGCCAGGTCTACTGAAATTACATGGAACCATGAACCCAAAAATGAGGTTTGTGCTGAACCTTCATCTTGTGCTGATACCCCCTAGGGCAGGGGTCTCCAACTCCGGACCTGGAGAGCTACCGTCCAGTAGGTTTTCTATCCTACCTGGCTTCTGAAGATACCAGGAACAGGTGTGGCTCATCAGAAGCCATGTGGGACAGAAAACCTACTGGATAGTAGCTCTCCAGGACTGGAGTTGGAGACCCCTGCCCTAGGGTTAATGGGCATGAGCCTGCATTGCACATAATCTTAAAGCTTCAGAGGCCAGCATTTTGTGGATATTACACAAGTATATGGGGTCACGCAGACTAGATACTATGTGACATGGGGCATTCACAAGACCTTTAGGGGCTTTACCTTCCACTTTGCTTTCCAGGTACTTATCCAGTTCTGCCTCTTTCCTCACGGCTTCTGGAGAGATCTTGGGTGCACCAGGAAAGCAGATCAGTACCACACTCATGTTGTCCCGGCTCCCCTGTGGCAAGAGGGCAGAACCAGCTCAGTCAGGCCCTTCTCTGCTCCAACAGTGACCATCAGATTTTAGCAAAATGGCACCATTAAACATGTATGCGTTCTGCTGAAACGGCCTGAGGGTAGAGTACCGAGTCTGACTAATTACCCAGATCCACACACTGTGGCAAGGGAGATACTGATTTCTCCTTTTTTACTGGGGTCTTATTTTGCAGGCCACAAGTAAGTCCCTTCTTTGTTTGTAACATGAAGAGCAAAACTATAAGTGAATTCCCTTTATTAAACTGCTCCTGTTACTGCAGGAACGATTTAAAAATTTTTTTACAAATAAGACAAACCATGTGCAGCCACAGGCTGGGTTTGCTGTAGGAAATCTTATTTTCTGAGATTTGCTGTATGTTTGACTATTACCCAGAAAATCAGAAGCTTTTACTGAATAGGATATCTGAGGCTGTTTACCTTGTACAGACAGGTGTCCACTATCTCATTGCACACTCTCTCTAGGTCCTCCGTCACCTCCAGCCTCGACCTGACAAAGTCGCACAGTTCCTCGTTGGCCATGACATCCCAGATGCCGTCGCATGCCAGCACGATGAACTCGTCAGCGGCCTCCGATCTTTCGATCTCATAAACTTCTGGCTCTGGTGACACCAGCTGCTCCGTGGGGCCCTTGCCGTGAACGCACTTGTAGTCAAAATCTCCAAGGGCCCGTGACACAGCGAGGGAACCGTTGACACGTTGGATCATGACTGAGCCGCCGGCGTTCTGTATGCGCTCCTTCTCCAGCGGGTTGCTGGGCTTATGGTCCTGCGTGAAGAAGTGGACGCGGCCGGCGCGGCTCAGCAAGCCCCGCGAATCGCCACAGTTGATGAAGTAGGTATGCCGCGGCGAGACCAGCACACCTACGGCTGTGGAGCCGCTACGGTCGGCGCCGTGCTTCTTCTCTGAGATGGCGCGCATGTGCTCGTCGATCTGCAGGAAGCCGGTGCGGATGCCGCTCTTGACACTCTCCACCGATGGCTCCCGCTCACCGCCGCGGAAGTCTGGGTTGCTGGTGATGTGCTCCAGCAGGTGCTCACAGCAGTAACGAGCTACCTGCGAGCCGGCGTGCCCATCGTACACAGCGAAGAAGGACCAGGGGTCCAGGCCGTTGGGCAGCCCGATGACGGCCGTGTGGGCGTCCTCCATCTCCACCCGCCAGCCCTGCATGCTGCTCAGACCATAGCGGAGGCTGTTGCCTTCTCCGTGAGCGTTGTGCTTCTCCATCTTTGGCTTGTCCAGGAATGCCCCCATTGTCACCTCCTTCTAGTCAACAAAGCAAGAATGAACAAGCAGACAACTTTTAGCCAAGTATCAAGACTTACCATTTCACTTACAGTACAAGAACATACTCTTAAGCACTTGACCATAAAAAAAACATATTTCTGCTCATAACAAAGGGATTGAACACCTCAGAAAAGAATTCACACAAACTTACCACCTTTAAAAGACAGCACCCCTTTATTACTACTGAAAAGTAAAATACATTTGCCAGGTACAAGAAAACCGCAAGCATGAAATGCTACCAAAGTCACCCCACAATCTACAACGTGATTACATATTTTAAATATGGGGAAAAGGTGCTACTGGGAGGGAAGAAACATTGAAAAGCATTCTCAGGCTGGCTCCCTTACCAAAATTGAAATAAGGTCAAATTAAAGATGAGAATGACAGCGAAAGGTTGTGGCGATGACAGCTGTCATGCGGGGCTATCAGGGGGTGGGAGGCCCGCGGTTAATATGCCAAACAAATGCAGATGCGTTACAACAGTGAGCATTTATCAGTTAAAGATAATATTCGGCAAATTGCTGATAGCCAAGAAAGTACATCCTTCACTTCTGTCCGGATACTACCTATTTGCTGGTGACAAAAACAACCAAATGGCAGCCGTAAAGTTTGGACACTATTAAACATTAGACAATATGCGACAGATATACTGACCAACAAGCACCTAATATTAAGCAAACGATTGATTTTCGTAATTAGGGGATAATCACGTTAATCACACAGTTATTAATAGAGATGACAAGGTAAAGGCTAACGTCTATCTTGACTGAGAGAGTGAACGTGGTTACTCAGCAGGCTAGCTTAGCCGGCTAATTCAGCGCCGCTCCGCGTACGCATATTCACGCACTGCTGTGCAGTAAGAACTGGTATCGGGCTTGGATTACTGCTCTAGTTAAGCCCGGTGTGCGTCCCTCTCCTCGCCCTCCCTGTTTCTCCCTCTCACACACCTACACACACGGCCCCGCGGCGGCAGGCCCCGAGCCGCGGTCCCTCAGGCCTCAGCGCCGCCTGTCACTCGGCTCCTTCCCCGCGGCCTGCTCATTCGCGCTCCCTTCCCACTGCGGCCCCGCGTTAGCCAGCTAGCCGCGGTACTGCTGACTTACCCGAATCTCAAACGAATTTATGCGTTAAAAAAGAGGGGAAAAAAGAAAAAAGAAGCACACAAAGGCGGCGGGCTGGATAAGTAAAGCGGCTGTGGTATAGCGACGGCGGAGAGAAACGCCGAGAAAGAGAGACGGACAGAAACCGCCGTCAGCGCATTTAAATAGAAAAAGAGACCGGCTCTCCGCTATGGGTGAGCCTCACTCGCATCACTTCGACCTCTAAGGCGACAAGAAAACGCTTTGAAAGGTCATTAGCTGGTGCCCTGGTTAGGTTTTAGGCCGGCGTGTGCTCAGGTGGGGGAAAAAAAGCCCTAAGCTCGGAGCTCTACCCCAGCGTCCCTGTGAGAAAGCCCGCAACCGTAACCTCCGCAAAGTGCGTAAGGTGCGTAAGGAGCGTAACAGTGGCTCCGAGACCCGGATGTACACACTGCAGGCCGTAGGCGTGAAACCATTACATCACCGCGAAGGCGTATAAATAGATCGCAAGGATGGCGTGGTTGTTGTCAACAGAAAACCTAATGTACGGGGAGAGGGTGGTGTTTCTGCAGCAATAATACAGCATGTTAGGATTTGAAACTGTGTTCTAACGATGGCAATGCTGATATTCGAGTAATTTATGAAATATTAATACAAAAACTATTAATAAAGGCTTCAGTTATATACACTGGAATTACAGTAAATTATGGATATGTTAAGCGTTTGTTCGACTACGGAATATTTTCAACAGAGTGTAATTAATTTACCAAATCATTCTTGTTCTCTTTAACACAAGTGTATAATGTTTTCATGATCTATCTTAAGTGGGACACACAAATGCTTCTAGTAATCTTGTATAAAATACTTTTTGGCCCAGATTTGTTTTTGTCTTCCAGGTCGATTAAATGTTTTATGTCAAAAAAATCAATATATCAGTTAAATAATTTTAATACTTAAATTGATTATTATTCATTATATTATTCATAATTATTCATAATTAAATTCAAGAATTGTTTCTCCGTTCTAGGGGTGCACTGATCTACATTTAAATCAATTTTAAATTTAAATCAATTTTAAAGTTAAACCAATTGCTTTGCTTAAAAGGTTACTTTTACATTTCAGCAGTGTGCGGTGACTTTTTTTCTTCTTCATAACAGTATCACAAAACTCCTACATACAGCTCTGAAATACTGAGTCCCAGTTGTGTACCTGTATTTTCCCAGTTGTGTACCTGCATTTACCCTGCCGTTCATTCTCAGTAGCTGCCGTCCAGTGGGCCTGCATATTTACCAAACCACTGCTGTCTTACTATCTGTGCCTCCTCCTTTTGCCTGATTGGAGGTGACAAGCCCCTCCTCTGGACAGTCGGCCATTCACTTGGCTGCACTGGATTCATTCACCTGTATTGTGATGCTTGTGGTAGCTGTCCCATTGTCAATAAGAACCCATGGTAACCGAGCACTCAAAACACCTGCTAAATAGCACTGGAGCTCTGGACGCTGACTCATGGCATCCACTGATACCTGTCACCTCACAGTCAGAAGCAAAGCTTCTCATGCACCTGACCAGTTCATGAATATATATGACAAGTAATCCAGTTTATCCAGTTTAGTATCATTATTATGGTTGTACTGATTATGAAGCATGTTTAATTTTGTTCTGTGTTTGTTTTTTCTGTGCAAAACTGCTGACTTCAGTTGCCTGTTTTGATAATATCGGTAGCAGTTTACAATACTATTTCAGTTTGTTATTTGTTTAAAATCCCATTTTATTCACTACTGTTCAGCTCACGGCCTTCTGCTCTCTGTGTTTTTGCACCTTAGTAGAGCAGTTAGACGCCATTTAAGTGTATTCAGCATGTTATTGTTGTTACATGAGCTGAGCTGGGTATTAGTGTAAAGTCTGAAATAGACTGAAGCTGAAAGCATCAATGACGAGAAGCCGCAGCGGCACCGGGCACCGTCACTCCTCTGGACTTATGAGGCTTAGTCTCACCACATCAACTTTAGTAAATGTTTGATATGATCTTGTGAGTTTCTGGGATGTATTTGGTTATAAGGGTGTGTCAGTAGCTGTGACGTAATCCAAGTATTTCTTAGGAAAAAATTTTAGAATCATATATATGTATAGAATTTATTTTCACAACCTGATTTATCCTCCGGTAAACCAGTAAACTTCTAGACCAGTGGACACTGGACACAAGAGAGATGGGATCCACACTGTAGATGGGATCCAGTCCATTGTGGAGCAAACACACACACACACATAGACCAACATACACATGGTTGTATTCCTATCTTTATGGGGACCGTCCATTCATTTCTATGGGAAAATGCTAATGCCAACAATGACAACCTCCCCCCCTACCCAGTCCTAACCTTAACCATAAGTAACCAAACAAAATGTAGGACATTTTTTTGATTGCGGTCACAGATTTTTATAAAATTGAGTTTCTCCTTAAGGGGACCAAAAAAATTATCCCCATAATGTCAAAATAACAGGTCTTTATAACATTGTGGGGACCAAATGTCCCCATAATGTAATATATACATGACCAACACTGAGAGACACACACAAAAACATCCTGACTGCTGCTGTGATCCAGCATTGAAAATGGGAGCATATAATAGAGGAGTGCAGTGCTCTCAGATTTACTGTAATTCTGCTTCCCAAGGACTCCTGGGTATGGCTACTGCGAAACAAATGGCAAGAAGGGGATTCGAAACCACAGAAACCTGTAAGAAGCCAATATGGAAAACCGTAAGATCTGTGTACAAATGGGACCAGGATGTGACCCGACTCAGCAGAGCTTTCAGGCAGCTAACTGACTTTCCACGATGCCCTTCACCAGTCCCGGCAGCCGTGTATAAATACAGACAGATTTTCAGCCACAGACGAGACACTGAAATACAGGATGTATCCAGAGTACCATTCCCAGTTTTTTCATGTTTAGGAAAACAAACCACTTACCCTGGCCTTGCCTTCACTTTGTCTGAAAACTGAAAAATATGTTATTTTGTATCCATGACCTTAATTCTGTCCTGTACACAACAAGTTAAAAGCTTGTCTAACTGAAATCTGGAACAAACAAGTGTATTCCAATACACACGTATGTTAGGGTACTGAGACTGGCTATAGCTCATCTCTGCTGTGACCTCTTTCTGGAAATGGAGAAATGCTTCTCTGGTGAAAGGGGAATGTTCAGCGAGTTCTGGCCCTCTGTACACCAGGCAGCTCCGCAGAGGCGATTCTAGGGACACTGGGGCCCCTAGGCAAAGAACCCCAGGGGCCCTCCACCTCCCCCTCCCCGGCATGCTAACATTTATTAGCTTTATTTTACTATTAAAATTAATAACATCAAGAAAGAGAATTTAATAAACACAATTCCTTTATTTTCACTATGCTGTGAAACAAAGAATAGACAAAGCAGATTTGTCGTTATGATATACTGTGTAATCGACCCAGCTTGGGGCCCCCAGGCAATCGCCTGCCTCGCCTGTCCTGTCCCTACGCCTCTGCAGCTCCGTCTGAGGCAGGACATCTTACTTCATTTAGTCTGGAAGCTAAACTGTGCATTTTCACAAGACTGAGGCAGATTGAGTTTAAGAGATTCAGTTCTACATACACAACCCTTCAGAACAAACCAATACAATTATCTAAAGCATTGTTTCCCAATCCAGTTCTTGGGGAACTGCAGACGGTCCACGTTCCCCGCTAGACAGTCCACAATTTTGTCCTACCGCGTACTGTCTGCTGGTCCCCGAGGACAAGATTGAGAAACACTGTTCTAGATAAATAAAAATTATTTCCTGTTTTTTTGCTGATTAAATTAAATCAATTTACACTTCATCTCCTTTTATGCATCAGGATTATGGGCTTGTGGGCTGGTCACAATAATGAAGTACCGATTGTTCAGATCTGCTTATCTGTTGCTTGGTCTCTGACCCTTTCCAAACTGCAGTAATGCTATAACAAAGCCGGCCTTCTCTAGCTTTACGCTAAGCATTGTGCCCCTGTCATCAAAAACACCAATGTAAAGGAGAAGTGCAGAGGCATGAAAGGTGAGTGACAGCTGTCTTTGTTTGGACTGATAGCTGAAGGCCAAAACAGACTGTATTCAGACTGTACCATATCTTACACGTCTCTCTAAGAGTACAAACACCAGTACCATTCAACACAGAAAAGGATTCTGGGTACGACAAAGATGCCTTACACTGCACACATACTCCTGTTTCCTGTATCTCTGTACCGCTTTTACCCCCAAACATTCATTACACGTATGATTAAAAATAATTTTTATTTAATGATTTTGTACCAGCTCCCCAAATGAACAAACAGCTTAATTCTGACATGTTCAGTGCTGCTTGTTATCTGAACGTGATGCAATTGGCTTCATAGTTCTTTGTGTGCCATAAGTTAGCTAAAGGTGCGGCCACAGAAATATCACCTCATATTCGCAAAGTACACCGATCAGAAATCCTCCATGTGGACGCGGGGGCTGCTACGCAGAGCCGTCAACCTTGTGCTACTCAACATCTTTAAAATCCTCCCAAGCACTGGGTTCACTCTGCTAACGCTGCTAATATAGCATCTCACGCCTCTGACATCTTTTCTTCTCCTCAGAAGTGAGGCTTAAGATTTCAGTTTTCTTACATGCCGCCCTATTTACTTCACATCAAATGATCAAGGTCGTGCAGCAGTGATGCTGTTTTGTCTGATTATTTTATTGGCAAATACACCGGCGGTGGCTGGCGCTCCGTCTGACTCCGTCTCTTTGATATGACTTTGTTAAATGGAGGACCCCATTTGTTTTACACCTATTCATGTCTCATTCCTGTCTTTTTCTGGTTAATTGGCTTCTCCACCGCTTGCGCTCTGACGTTCCTCAGAGAAAGGACGCGGAGCGACGCCGTTAAATGCGAGTCTTGCCATTATCGTGGCTTTTCAATGTGCTGTATTCAGTGACGCCTGCGCCGCGTGACCTGGGGAGTAAATGTGCCTTTTGTGGCACCGTGGAAAATATAGCTTGGTGAAGTAATTAAAATTCTATCTTGAGAGACGTCTTGTTGCCACTTGAGCCCAAACACTCGGCACTAATCGACATCGTGGCAGACAGAGGAGCTCCCGTCCCTCATTCTCCTGAAGGTTAGCCCTGCACTGTGGCGTCTTTAAGAGGCCAGACCCAGCGCCTTCATGCGGGCGGACCTGCTCTGCATCCGCTCAAGATGAAACTTTCACAGTGAAAAGCAAACAGCCCTTCTAGCGCTACTGAGGCCAGACCTTCTGATATTTCCTGACCTGGAACATTGTTCACAGGGACAAGTGGGACTCTGCAGAAGGCTCTGTAAAGGAGGCAGACGCCGGGTGACATGAATGGAAATTCTCATGTCGTACAGACTGAAGATTTTTCAAAGGCTTCCCAACCTTCCGGGGTTTGAACTAGTGGCAGAGCTATAACAATGTTCTCTGACTGTTTCAATGTCAGGTGCGTCCAGGTGGTGAACATCTTTGAAGAATGCTGTTTCCCTTCCTTGTGGTTGGAATTAGCCGTCAATACTGGCTGCCAGCGTGACTCGAGCTCCGACAGTCTCTGTTACCCAGGTTGTCAATGGCCAGTCAGCCACCATTTCAGTGCTTTAGATGGGCATGTGGCCCCAAATTGAGGGGGGGAGGGGCACTAAATCAGGGAGAATCTGCTGGCTATAGATGGATTCACGGGCTCCACAGCGGCTCTGTGAAACAGTATCTTAAAGGAACGATGCTGAGACAATAAAACACATTACAAAGGGAACAAGGCCAGCTCACTGAATATCAAAGGCCTTAGAAGACATTTTAAGACATTTGATTTCCGGAAGGCAAAGTCTGCTGTCCAGGGTGTGTCTTTGTCTTTTCCACTCCTGTTGGAGCTTCTCATGGGCAGGGACTCGAGGTGCAGTCAAGCCTCCAAGGGATGGGGTGACACCTTCGCTCATGCAGATGACGCGGTGCTCTGAGTGCCACCAGGTCCTCGGGCACGCACTGTGGCAGCCCCACGCTGGCCGGGCACTGGCAGGAAGGAGAATCAGTACGTACAAACCTGAGGCCATAGTGCTCTCTCAGAAAAGAACAGGCTGCTCCCATCCAGTTGAGGGGTCTGACTAACCTGTGGCTTACCAGTCAGTCCGTGTCCCCGTGCTCAGCCGTCTGCCAGCTGCCCTGAGGATGTCGGGCGTCATGGTGTCTCACAGGCACCACATCCTCATGGTGTCTCACAGGCACCACATCCTCATGGTGTCTCACAGGCACCACATCCTCATG